AATGACAAGCAATTGAGTGTAGGCACTATTTAGGCTGAGCGGATTAGTGTTTGAGAGCTACGTTCCTTAACAGTACGTTCACCAAAGGACCAGGAGACCTTCGCCATTGAGGATGACAGTATGAAGAGATGCAATATCCATAGTGAAAAGATGTTTGTCTTAGCTAAGAAAATTAAAGTTGCGAAAAATTTGAAGTGCGAGTTGGCTGTCCACAATGTATGATGTTACAGTTTTGACGATAAGAGCCATAATTACTGGGATACCTGTGGTAGCCCAGTAATAAAATGCCTTTGTTTTTTTGTCGTCTTTTTTTTTTTTTTTTTTTCCCTCCGCCACAAAATAGAAAAAAATTGCGCAATAGTACCCAGAGGTCATTGGGCCCTCAACACCATGACAACTAACTGTGATCCAATGAGCGTGAAGGTGTTCACATGCTAATCACGTGTTATCTTAATGATGATTGACGTTGTCATGCACGGACAGGTCCGGGTCGCATGACGAGCACGAGATTTTTGCTTAGAAAACTCTTTTGTCGGTCGTTTTATATTTCAACGTGTTTGGATTATGATCACCTGAAGCATTATAGCGCAAACGCTCGAAATACTTACAGACGCATACACAAGTCGTATTGTTCGCGGCCAATCCACACTAAAAGATGTTATTGAGCGGTAATTTTGGACCGGATTGAGTCGCGAACTGTGTATCCGTTGTAGTTTCTGGTGATTTCTGCTGTTTTAAGCTTGCTTTACCATCACTGTTATTCACATCATCTACTTTTATTACGTTGGTAAAATCTGTACAGACATCACACAAACCAACTCGCGCACAAAGTAAGAAGACTATATTGAAGGCTTGAAATTATATTACGATCGATTTTCATCAAGTAATGGGCCAGGAATTTTCCACAATAGTGCAAATAATCGTGAAGACTGATCGAGGAAAAGCGATTGCGTGACGCTCGGTAAGCTGTGAGATGACATGTTATTATTTACCAGACGTAAAAACTCTTCAGATTCTCAGTCTGCATTTTGTACCCACTCTGCAGTCTATATTTTGTATCCGATATGCTGTCTGCATTTTGTACTAATAGGTATCTGTGGCACCAATACAGTTTATTTTTGGTTACATTTATTCGCACAACACACATAATCTACCACAAAGTACCTGTGTACACCAAGCTACATCCCCTTAAACAAACTACACCACACAACACTAAACTACACCACACTATACTACACCGAATTAATCGAGTTACACCAAACTATTTTCGTACTTTCCAAACTTCCCGCGTGCTTCAAATCTTATTGAATGCTCTCTGTCGTATGAAATAATTGTTAAGTACGTGGTATGCCTGTATTAATGTTGTGGACGCACTCTAATTCTTTTAACTTTTTTTTCCAAATTTTAGCACTTATATGGTCCTATCCTTTGAGGAAGTTCAAGTGGTGCCCTATGATTTAGTTGGCACTATACTCACATTCAGTTTACTTTCCGTGGCCTGTTATCAGAAACTTTAGTGATTCCTGGTCCCTTCAATGTTCTTATGTTGCAAAGGAGCTCGCCTATAATTGTTTCACTTCATGTTAATTGCCTTACAAGCGGAATACAAGAAACAGTAATAAAGAATACAAGTAAATGGCACAGAAACCTAAGATTTGTAACTTTTGGTTTCCTAGCAAGAAAAGTACAATGAATATATTCAAAAAACAGCAATAAAAGGAAGCATATTTCCAAGAATAATTCGGATCCAAAATGGGGCTGGTAATTGTTGATGAAAGATTTTTGCGTTCCTTTTTTTCTTCTGTTATTTCCTCCCATAACTTATATTTCTGTTAATCGTAATGTTATCGGTCAGCTTAAGCTTAGTTATAGTCAGCGTATAGTCTCCGTAATTGCACATTTTGTCAGAGAAGAAATTTGGTTTTCCTTGATTTCTTGATTTTCATTTAACTTTGTTCCATTGTTTTACGTCACCTTAACTGTCTCAAGAAACAATTTAAAAAACTTTCCCAAAATGCTTTTCGGTACCGAAAACACGCGTGGAAAATGTCCCCGCACGATTCTGGATAAAATTTCGGTAACCGATCATGTCACCCGAAGGTCATCTCGCCTGAAGTCATGTCGCCCAAAATTTTAGTCATATCGCCCGGAATAAAAAGGTAAGCCAACCAAAAAAAAAACCACATTACTTCAAAGATCACACTCATAGACTGTTAATTTGTCATTAAAGTGCTGTTTGTTTCCGAAAACATCATATAGATGATGATCAGAATTAAAATATGTTGGTGCAACAGCTCTAAGAGCGTTGTTCGTTTCTAACAACAAAATGAAGTGCTGTTCAATTGGTATGTGCTCGTTTTGTACTCACGAACGTTTCGTAAACTTGAGAAACTTTATCACTCAAGCAATGTTGGTTTCTTACACCTCCGTGATGACTTCACTATACAGAAATCAATCATATGGTCAGAATTGAAATAAATTTGCACAACGACTCTATATCGTTGTTTGTTTCTGACAACAAAATGAAGCGTAGTTCTTTCCTCTAACAAAACGCAGCGTTTCACTGTGTGTTTGGTATTCACTCGTTTGGTACCCACAGACGTTTCACACTCTGTCTATTTGTACCCACTGTGAGTCGGTTCGTTCCCAACCCCCTGGTAGATTCGCACCCGTCCAAATACTCAGTGATGAACAACACCACGGTAAACAGATGTCGATTTTCGCCTATGACAAGTACGTAAAATGTCAAGCAAGTAACATCCAAATGAAGTTCTATTTTGTAACGTAAGTGTGACATTTTTAGGATAACAATCTATTGTTTATACGTGTGACTTTTTAACAATAGTGATCTGATGGCATCATTTCCCTTGTGCTCTGTTCCCTCTGGCAATCGTATGTATATTTTGATCCGATCAAAGAATATATATATAAAAAAGGTAAATTTAAAGCATCCCTATCATTCTAAAAAAGCTAGCTACGACACAAAATAAATGTGATCTAATCAAAATGAGCAATCATTCTTGTATCGTGTAATTGGCAATGAAGTTACACCACACCAACAGGCCTTACAGTGCGACGATTAGATTGGCGATACGTTGCTTGTTCAATTGTGGCTGTAAACCCATCGGAAAAAATTCCTGCGGCTGGGAGCACTCGTAATGACTAGTTTAGCGCTCTCGCAATACTCTTCAGATCGTAGGTTGATTTAAAAAGAATTCTTTATTTTGGTTAGATATGTCATGCCGAACCTTTGAAACAGGTTGCATTTACAGTGACATTTCACGTTTGAAGGATTTTTAACGTAAGTAAATACACCAAAATGGTGTTTCGATTGATCGGTACCCTCAGCGATTTCTAAAAATATGCCTTTTTGGTGTTCTTACAAGCGATTAAAAAATAGGGCGACTTGACTTAATATTTCGGGCGACATTATTAAAATTTCAGGCGACATGACTCAGGTTCCAGGTGACTTGACCATTAACCAAAACATCATGTTTGCTGAGAAAATGGAAGTGACCCAAGCTGTGTCATTTTCTTGAGCTTATGATATTTTTTTACAGATTTCAATTTCGCAAACTACAGATTTTCATTTTGTTTCGTTTCTTTTTTCGCAAATTACAATAGGCGACTTTCATTCATTAAATTTAACTTCTACTGAAAGCAAAAGATAGCAAATGTAAATAGCTAATTGTCTTTGTAAGCGTGCCTATACGTTCACAGTTTCCCCTGCGTTTTGCATCTAAAAAATATTTAATTTCACTACAGATCAAACCATAGGTTCGTGGAGATTACATCATGCTCATGTTCAGGAAATCCCCAATCATTTGCAAGCTCTTTGAAAAATACAAGCTGATGTACATAAGCGCTAAACAACTTCTTTAGAATACTTACCCTCAAACTCATACATCCCATTATTGGCACAGTCCTCTTTACTTGACTCACATCCGGAGTCTATCTACACAATTGAAGGAAGATCAACTGAAATTAATTATGAAATAAATCAAGAAAAAACTTTGGAAACAAACATGGTTAAACCTCGGAAACGACGATTCCATTTCATCGAAAGTGATTCGGACACAGACTGAACAATTCCTTGAACTGTTTAGCCGGACTTTTAACTTGTTGGCGCCTTAAAGATGTGAAGAATAAATTATTATTGGACTTGATGCGCGCGCTTTGCTTATGCTTAATTATGATAAGCAATCTCGTATTTTTTCATGTATATTATTGACACGTCACATGATTTTTCTCGTGCAATTTGGAAGGAATAAGCACTTGTTAATTTTTCAAAGAGCACAAATTGCACGAGCCCTACGGGCTTGTGCGATTTTGTTAGTCTTTATAAAAAAAATTTACTCGTGTTTATTGATTCTAAATTGCACTCGAAATCATGTGATTACCTACACAAACTCCAACATCGATTTTTGCTACTGTCCCGGTTGAAGGTGAACTACATCACGCGCTACGCATTTCCGTTACGATTATTTCCGGTTACGTTTATCACTTGTTTCCACTTGTTTACGCCCTTATACAAACAGGCATGAACTTAAAATAAATTTGCAATTTTTTTTTACATATGATGGAAGAAGAATTGAAAACCTGAAAGAAAATGGCTGTGGCCAACAAATGGCTTAGCACATTTTAGGAAATGTGTACATCTACATCTACATCTACACTTATTGAGTTGATAAAATCTTGTTAGATATCACATTAACTATGACTAAAAGCTAAAATAAGATATATATATACATATATATATATATATATATATATATACATATATATATATATATATATATATATACATATATATATATATATATATATATATATATATGTACATATACAAAAATTAAATAAAAGTAAAAATGTCCAGATAACAAGATAAATAAATGATAATTCATAATTGGAATTTACTTTACTTATTTCACGTACTCTCCTAAGTTTAGCTTAAAATCAGATAATGACTTGCAATTTACTAAGTCAGCGGGCAGTGAGTTCCACTCTGTTATTGATCTAAGGAAGAATGAAAACTTAAAGACGTCCTTTGATACTTTTGGTATTCTATACTTAAAAGCATGGCTATTGCGTGTTCTTTTTTCTCTGTTTGGTATCAAGTGTTCTTCTGTGTTAATGTCTACTAGGTTAATTATGACTAAGTTTGTACATTAGAGTCAATCTGTTTTTCTTTTTTCTTGTTTCTAATGTGTCCCATTTCAGATCGGATAACATGTCTGTAACACTTGTTGTTTTGTTGAAGTTTTGAAGACAAAAACGAGCAGCTTTTCTTTGAACTCTCTCCAAGGTTGAGATATCTTTTTTGTAGTGTGGGTCCCACGAGGCACTTGCGTACTCCAGTTTGGGACGGACAATGCTGGTATAAGCCGTTTCACGTACGTCCCTTGGGCAGTTCGTGAAACGGCCTATACCAGCATTGTCCGACCCAAACTGGAGTACGCAAGTGCCTCGTGGGACCCACAATACCAAAAAGATATTTCAACCTTGTACAACCTTATGCAAGAAATTATATCAAATCGTTTGTGCTTAAGAATGCTCAGTATGGTATGCATAGGTTCACAGCCTCCGCAAGATATTTAACCGCAACACCATCAAAATCAGCTACAGTTGTATGAATAACACCAAACAGGTCTGTACGTACTGTAGTGTGGTGTTGGGCTTTGTGTAGGGCTGGTAGGTGCTGTTGTTTAGGTTGAAAGTGACGTCTAGGAAGCTGATGATCTTTTTGTTTGCTTCGATGGTGATACGTAGTCCGTTGCGGTTGAAGATTTGGCAAATTTCCTTCTTTATGTTTTCGGTGTATGTTTTCTTTATGTTTTCGACTAGCCACCACTAACACCACGGCGAGAGACACCGAAAACATAACGAAGGAAATTTGCCGAATCTTCAACCGCAACGGACTACGTATCACCATCGAAGCAAACAAAAAGATCATCAGCTTCCTATATATATATATATATTTATTCTGCTCTGCTTCAACGTATTGAGCACTGTACCACGCGAAAATCGACTTGCAGACTTCCTATATATATATATATATATATATATAATATTTTAAGAGGAAAAAAGGACGCGACAAGCCTGTTTCGTGAATCGCTTCACTCTTCAGGGGTTTAATGTAATATATTGTGGGAAGAAAAAGACAAATAAACTACCAGTTCATCCCTACAGACCTGTTTCGTGGTTGCCCACTCATCAAGGGATTTAAATCCCCTGATGAGTGGGCACATAAAATCGAAGTCAAATAACACATAAAATCACAAAAAATGGGCACATAAAATCAAGTCAAAGCCTGTCTCGGGGAGTGAAAGGGTTAAATACTCTTTGTATCATCATCCAAAATTAGATGATTCATTTTAAGACTATTTTTAGACAGATTGTTTTTACAACGGATTAAGAAACCGTTATAAACGTTTTTGTTACAGCGTTAAACGGATGCAATTTTTTTAAACGGATGAGCAAACCCCTAAACCTTTAGCTAAAGCGTTAAACGGATGCAAATCTTTTTAAACGGATGAACAAACCATTTAAACTTTTCAGCTTTTATGAACCGTTTAAACGGATTTGAACGGATAGTAAACTGATTAAAACTATTTATATGAATAGCTGTAATTGAGGATTAATTTGTAAGAAGTTTTCAAAAAAAGAAAAGTAAATCAAATTCCATCCTAATATTACTACATGTTAATGTTAATATACAATCAAAAATATTTTACACATAAACCTTACGTAAGCTTGTAAATAAATTTCATTGAATACTTGTATTTTAGATGAGGTTTTTAATTTTTAGTATTTATTTTACATTAGTAGCCTCAAATTTTTGCTTAAAATTCCCAGTAATTCTTAAACATTCCTAGAAATCCCTAGGAATTTTTTAGATTTACAGCTTTTCAGGCAAAGTTATTGGGGATGTATATCAGTATCTGGGCAACTGCCCATCTACCCCTCCCCTAACCCAACATTATCCCGAACTTGTTATCAATTGACTGTTGTTGGGTTAGGGGAGGAGTAGGTGGATAGTTGCCCAGATACTGATATGGATCTGTTATTGGTGCTCTGAGTTGGAATTCTCAGGAATTACAAGTCCTGTTGGCTATAAACATGGAATTTCTAAAAATTTCTAGGTTTTTAGAACTAGAGTTGTTATAGTTGGGAATTCCTTGGAATTCCCAATCCTAATTTACTGCTAAAATTCACACCTCTTATTCCTAGGAATTCCTAGGAATTCCAATATCCATTTCGCAAGGGGATGCTCTACCTGAATCACCTTTCATGTGCAACAGATCAAAATTGAAGACTCACTACAAAGCGAGCAACTGCATACATTGCCGACTCGTTACTGGTCCATGGACAACTTAAAGCACACCACTAACCTCTCAAAAACCTTTCGTAAGGTGGAACCTTTCAATTGAACTGCATTTAAATTTGTAATTTCAGCAATAACTCCTTGCATCTTCAAAAGTGGAAAATTGGGCCCAGAAAATCTTTTTTCCACCAAGGATATAGCAACTAACCCACAGTTACTCTTGTCATCTTTGATACAGTGCTACAGGTACATTTTGTACAGTTAATATGTTATATTGTCAAAAAATTAATTTATCATAACATAATACCTGCCACTGAAAACTTTATAACTTCTCCTCACATCTTCAAAAGTGGAAAGTTGGACCCTAAAAATCTTATTTCCACTAAGGAGACAGCAACTAACCCACAATAACTCTTGTCATCTTTGATAGAGTGCTATAGGTAAATTTTGTACAGTTAATATGATATGTTGTAAAGCAATTAATGTATCATAATATAATACCTGCCACGGAACACTTAATTCTGTTGAGGGCATCTTCAAAGGATCTCCTTCTGCCCTTTGTACCAACACTTCCTGGGAACTTCCTGCTGTTGCTGGAGATGGAATACCTTGTGGAACCACAATTGGATACTGTCCTTGTACAGAACCTTCAGGTGGCTGATTCTGCTGCAAATGTAAAAGCATTGAAAATGGTATAATAAATTCAGCCTGGACTCACAGTTCTTTGCATTGAGGTTTGTGTTGTCAAATAAATATAATAAATTTAGCCTGGACTCACAGTTCTTTGCATTGAGGTTTGTGTTGTCAAATAAATATAATAAATTTAGCCTGGACTCACAGTTCTTTGCATTGAGGTTTGTGTTGTCAGAAATAACTTCTCCTCACATCTTCAAAAGTGGAAAATTGGGCCAAGAAAATCTTATTTACTCTAGGGAAACAGCAGTTAAACCACAGTTACTCTTGTCATCTTTGATACAGTGCTATAGTTTTTTTTAGTACAGTGAATATGTTATATTGTTAAACAGTTAATGTATCATAATATAATACCTGCCACTGAATGCTTAATTCTCCTGAGGGCATTTTCAAAGGATCTCTTCCTGCCCTTGGTGCCAACACTTGCTGGGAACTTCCTGCTGTTGCTGGAGATGGAATACACTGTGGAACCACAATTTGATGGTGTCCTTGTACAGGACCTTCAGGTGGCTGATTCTGCTGCAAATGTGTAAGTGCTGGAAATGCTATTTGGCCTGGAATCACAGTTTTTTGCATTGAGGTTTGTGTTGCTGGAAAACACAAGAGCTTTACTACAGCTGGAGCTTCTGTTGTTACTTTAGTGGATTGATTTTGAGGTATAGCCCGATTTATTGCATACCCATGGTTCCCCTTTTTACGCTTTACTGGGGGTGAAACAACTGGCGGTACCATTGGTAATCCCTTCTGTACACCATGATCATTCTTTCTTGTAATAGTCACACTTTTCTGATTTGGTGTCTGTGAAGATGTTGGTATCTGCGAAGATGTTGAGTGTTCTTTGACAACACAAGATACTGCCCCTACATCAAGAGGAAATCTCAGTCAACTTAAATTACCTTTTACTCTATATTTTAATGGATGGCCTGCTAAATTCAAAAGTTTGTTTCAGTTGAAATCTTCCCCCTCTATATTTGAAGCCAGAGATATAACCTCTTGGTCTGTGCTATAAATTATGGAACCTGGTTTATTTCCCCTTGGATTTCTGACCTGTGTGCTTCACACTTGGGCTAAAACTCCAAGCAGAAAAAACTTGGTCTGTAAATTAATTTGCAGAAAGGACCTCGAAATTGGTTATCACCTACTTGTCCATAAAAGTAATCTAATTTTTGAGAATATTCTATTTTTGCAGCTAGCTACTATGAATTGCTGCCTTCACCAAGGTGGAATACAACAGTTATTATTAAGGGCAGATCTACCAGCAAACATACTTTCAATGTCACTTTTTCTTTTATTTATTAAATTGTGATTCCTACCTGCTGAATGACTGGACTGTTCACCAGTTGGCTCTTGTAACACTTTTGATAAGTCATCAGCTGTCATCTGTAAGAGAGACAACCATTATAAATAATTTAGCAGCATAAGGTGATGTAGTGTCCTCTTAATGTGGAAAAAAATTCCCTTAAGAGTGGTTCATAAAATCCAGCATGCAAACAATTAAAGTGTATTCTTGATGACTGTGAAATAAAATCTGAGTGTGTCACACTAACAATAAAGTGAAATTAACATTATTTTACACAAACTTTTCCCACTATAATTTTCACAAACCTCAGTTAAGATGTATAAAGCTGAATTTCCTTTGATGTTCCTTTTAATCAACTCTCCATCCCAAACTTTTCGTTTACCATGAAACTTAAGCCTTGTACGTCCGTCAACTGCAGAGGCGCAACAGAAACTGGATATGGATATGAATAAAACTTATGGTTAAAATTGAAATTTCAATCATGTTAATTCATCAAAAATACACAAAAAACACACATTCATAACATATGTATACATAGTCATATAATATATTTTTTATTAATAATTAAACTCTTGCATGAAAGACCTTCTGTTTGTTGTCAGTTAACAGAGACCAGAACTTTATTGTTTCTTTTAAAACACTTATGAGGGGGACATTGGAGGATTGTGAACACCGTAGTACTGCTAAAAGAATTCAGCCAATATTGCAAAGTAAAAAAATGACAAATACTGCAGCTCTACTCTGATACCCTGTAGAAACCTGACATCAAATGTATACCCTGTATGTTATGTGTTTCGTTCTACCATAAACACACAATTTCTAGGTAACGAACAGTCTTTATTTGTAAACTAAGTGCGCTCTCATGTAGATATATGAGATCTAAAACCTTTTGCGATTAGATAACATCGACCGCTGTGTCATGTGTCACCTGAGGTGCACGTGATCTCCGAGTGTGCTCTCGTTACATCCTTTCTTTCATAAGAAACAAAACGAAAACAACGGAACAATCAAAACAAACATGAGAAACAAAAAATCAAAACCACTATCCAAAAGAATCAACTAGTCAAGTCCGGTAATGTCTTTTGTCTCTCATGACACTGACTCAGGTTAACGAACAAAGTCTTTCAGATAGGACGGGGGCTTCGTTATTCGACCACTGCGAGTCTGGTTGCCTTTGGAAGCTTGCGATGCTAGATCAGTCGCAGGCTGCTCGATCGCTGGCTCCTGTGGCTTCGCTACTTCTGAGCTGGAGTGACCACTGGCGTTAGTTTCTTGTTCAATGTGTTTAGATGGCGAGGGAAGTTCTGTCTGCTTGGGCATCTGGGTTGTTGGCGTGTGAGACTCTTTTGCAGTTGCTTTCAGATGCCTTCTATTTCGTCTAAGGGCAGAGCCATCTTCTGTGAGGACTTTGTAGGATCGCATGTTCACCTGTTCCTGAACAGTGGCTTTCTTCCAGGGCGCCTTGGGGTTGCTTGTGGGCTGAATGCGCACTGAGTCTCCAGTTTTCAGTGGTGGCAAATCTCGAGCGTTTCTATTGTAGTAAAATGCCTGCTTGGTTCTTGTCTTCCATTTTCCTTCTTGGACATTTTCGGCGAGTTTAGGTTTAAGGAGCTTCTCGCTTGTTGGGAGTAGGGTCCTTGTTCGACGACTCATTAGTCGTTGTGCTGGACTGCTTTTCATGCCTTCTGAGGGTGTGTTTCGGTGGTCGAGGATCGCGAGCCAAGGATCTGTTCCATCTTTGTTAGCCTTCTTAATAAGCCTTTTCACAGTCTTGACTGCGCTTTCCGCCATACCATTGGACTGCGAATGTCCGGGACTTGAGGTTAAATGATTGAATTCCCAATCTCGAGCAAATCTCCTGAATTCGTCCGAATCAAACTGTGGGCCATTGTCGGAAAACACAGTGTTCGGGATGCCATGCCTTGCAAAGTGTTGCTTCAATTTGTAAATAACAGCTTTAGATGTTGTACTGGACTCCAACCTATCGACTTCCCAGTAGTTGCTGTGGTAATCTACGGTCACGAGGTAATGTCGGTTGTTTGTCTCAAACAGATCAACACCAACCTTGGACCATGGCCGGTCAGGTACCTCATGTGGGTGGAGTGTTTCCTTCTGCTGGGAGATCTCAAAGGTTCGACAAGTTTCACATTGTCTGACAAAGTTCTTCACAGCCGTGTTCATTCCTGGCCAGAAAACGCTTTCTCTCGCGCGTCTCAAGCATCCTTCCACGCCAATATGTGATCGGTGGATTCTGGATAGGACTTCTGGTCTGAGGGATTTTGGAACTACACATCTGTCTCCTTTGAAGATAATTCCATCTTGCGCTGATAGCTCGTCACGAACGTTGAAGTATGGCGTGACGTCATTTGGGAGATCAATCTTGGTCTCAGGCCACCCTTCTCGAATGACTTTCTGAAGTGCTTGCATCGTGCTGTCTCGCAGACTTTCTTTACGGATATCGTCTAGGCTAGCTTTGCGGAGTGGCAGAAACTCGACCATATGTATTTCTTCAACTTCTTTGTCGATGGTTAGCACTTCATCGCGCGATGTGGTGTTGGGAAGGGGTGCTCTAGAGAGTGTGTCTGCCAGATAAATGTGCTGGCCTGGCTTGAAACCAATTTCGAGGTTATACTTCTGCAGGCGAAGTAGCATTCGTTGTAGACGCTTGGGGCGGCCACGAGAGGTTTGCGGTAAATAACTTCAAGTGGTTTATGGTCGCTCTCAACAATCACTTTGCGACCATAAGTGTATTGGTTGAACTTCTCGGCTCCAAACACTATGGCTAGCAGTTCTTTTCTATTTGCGCATAGTTGCGTTCTGTATCTGTCAGGGATCGCGATGCGTATGCCACTGGCTGACCATTTTGTAAAAGTGTAGCTCCAAGTCCAGTGTCCGAGGCGTCGCATTGAAGTACAGTCTCTTTGGCGGGATCAAAGTATCGGAGGACAGGTGCTTGGGAAGCTGCTTCTTTGATCTTCTTAAAGGCGCTCTCATGGACGTCGCTCCAGTGCCATTCTGCATCCTTGCGCGTTAGCTGTCGCAGAGGTTCGCAAATGTCTGCCAGCTTTTTTAAGAATCTCGTCAGGTAATTCGCTAGACCAACAAGCCGCTGTACACCTTTCACATCTGTTGGTCGCCTCATGCCTTTGATGGCGTCTATTTTGGATGGGTCTGGTTTTAGTCCATCTCTTGTTAACACATGACCAACGTAGGGGATTTCTGTCATCTTCAACTTGAACTTCTCCTTGTTCAGTTTCACTCCCTTTTCGCGGCACCTTTCAAGTAGAGTTAGCAGTTTTTTGTCGTGATCTTTCACTGCTTCTTGCACAGTGTCACCTTCACCCGAGATGAGGATGTCGTCTGCAACTGTGCGCACACCGGGAAGGCCTTCGATGGCTTGATCCAAACGATGTTGGAAATATTCCGGTGCGGGTGATATGCCAAATGGCATCTTCAGCCACCGGTACCGACCAAATGGAGTGCCAAACGTTGTTAGATAGCTTGAATCTTCATCTAACTCGACATGCCAAAACCCGTTTTTAACGTCACACACACTGAAGACTTTAGCTTTTGACAAGTCCGGCAGGAGATCGTCGATAACCGGAAGAGGGTAGTGGCTGCGTTTCAAAGCTTTATTTAGTGGCTGAGGGTCGATACACACGCGAAGCTTGCCGTTGGGCTTCTTAACAAGTACCAAGCTTGAGACCCAATCTGTTGGAGTGTCAACTGCTTTGATAACACCAAGTTCTTTGAGACGAGTGAGCTCTTGCTTTAACTTGGGTTTCATTGCCACTGGAATCCTTCTAACAGGCTGTTTCACTGGTTCAATGGTTGTGTCCAACTCTAAGTGAAGTTTCTTCTCAAATTTTCCTTCTCCAGTGAAAACGTCATGGAAATCTGCTGCTATTTGTTGCATCGTTAGGCCCATTGCTTCTGTCTTTTCTTGTACCAATGAGATATTCTCGTAACGCACTTTGATTAATTTCATGTTCTGCACCGTTTTGGAACCCAACAGTGGCGTGCAGTCGTTATTGACAACAACAAACTCTGTTTCGCATTCTTCATCAACCTTGGGATTTACCAGATTAACACGACATTTACCAATGGTTTCCATTTTCGATCCGTTAAACATGCTGAGGACTTGTTTCGAATGCGCGATCGGGCACTCGTTCGGTAAATCGTTTTTTGCTTATCACATTACAGGTGGCGCCACTGTCGACTTGAAAACGAACGGGATGACCTTTGATCTCCATTGTTGCGAAGATTTTCGATTTGATGGGTTGACTACTGACACTTTTGACACTTTGTTCTTCCAGATTTTCGGATGAAATCGTGAAGCAGTACTCTTCATCGCTCGAATCCTGCGAAGTTTTTGCGTCTCGCACTCGGTGAATCCGTTCTTTTCTTCGTTGTCGCCCACCAAGTTTCTGTT